CCGACCTGGTGCTGCACAACCTGCTGCGAAACGCGCTGCTGGGCGTCAGCGGCGCCGGCCCGCCCCGCAGGAACACTGAGCTCGTCAAAGTCATGGGCCTCTCCAACTACCACTGCAAGCTCCTGGCCCCCATCCTGGCCCGCTACGGTATGGATAAGCAAACTGGCAAAGCTAAGCTCCTCACGGAGATGAACCAGGGAGACATCTTTGACTGCTCCCTCTTGGGTGACCGCGCCTTCCTCATTGAGCCGGAGCACGTTGAAACCATCGGTTACGGAAAGGACCGCTCTGGCAGCCTCATCTACCTGCACGACACCCTGGAAGACATCAAGAAGGCCAACAACAGTCAGGAGTGCCTCATTCCTGTCCACGTGGATGGAGATGGCCACTGCCTCGTCCACGCAGTCTCGCGAGCGCTTGTTGGCAGGGAACTGTTCTGGCATGCTCTGCGAGAGAATCTGAAGAAGCATTTTGAGGAGAATCTGAGTCACTACAAGGCGCTTTTCCATGACTTTATTGATGCAGCTGAGTGGGAGGACATTATCAACGAATGTGATCCTTTGTTTGTTCCTCCAGAAGGTGTGCCAATGGGCCTTAGGAATATTCACATCTTTGGTCTCGCCAACGTGCTTCACCGGCCTATCATCCTGTTAGACTCCTTGAGTGGAATGCGAAGCTCCGGAGATTATTCAGCAACGTTCCTTCCTGGTCTGGTACCTCTAGAAAAATGCATGGGAAAAGATGGCATGTTGAACAAGCCGATCTGCATTGCATGGAGTAGCTCAGGACGTAACCATTATATTCCTCTAGTTGGAATAAAAGGTGCTGCTTTACCTAAACTGCCTAGGAAGCTACTTCCTAAAGCCTGGGGAGTTCCTCAAGACCTCATCAAAAAGTACATCAAGTTAGAGGAGGACGGTGGTTGTGTTATTGGAGGAGACAGAAGTTTGCAAGATAAGTACTTGATGAGGCTTGTTGCTGCAATGGAGGAGGTTTTCATGAGTAAACACGGTATCCATCCCAGTCTTGTAGCTGATGTACATCAGTATTTCTACAGAAGGACTGGTGTAATAGGAGTCCAGCCTGAAGAAGTCACTGCAGCTGCCAAAAAAGCAGTGATGGACAACCGCCTTCACAGGTGCCTCATCTGCGGGGCCCTTTCAGAGCATCATGTTCCTCCTGAGTGGCTGGCTCCTGGGGGGAAACTCTATAACCTGGCAAAAAGTACCCACGGCCAACTAAGGCCTGACAAAAATTACAGTTTTCCCCTGAACAGTTTGGTGTGTTCTTACAACCCCACAAAGGATGTGCTGGTACCAGACTATAGCCTGAGTAGTTTGACCGCTTGTAACTGGTGTCATGGTAACTTGGTGCGTCGTGTCAGAGAAGATGGATCTGTCTCATATTTGGATGGAGACAGAACTAATACTAGGTCTACAGGTGGCAAGTGTGGCTGTGGATTCAAGCACTACTGGGAAGGTAAAGAATACGATAATCTCCCTGAAGCTTTTCCTATTACTCTAGAGTGGGGTGGAAGAGTGGTGAGAGAGACAGTCTACTGGTTCCAGTATGAAAGTGACACATCTCTGAACAGCAACGTGTATGATGTCGCCATGAAACTTGTTACCAAGCACTTCCCTGGTGAATTTGGTAGCGAGATTCTTGTTCAGAAAGTTGTCAACACAATATTGCATCAAACTGCCAAAAAGAACCCTGATGATTATACCCCTGTAAATATTGATGGTGCTCACGCCCAAAGAGCTGATGATGTACAGCAAGGACAAGAGTTAGAGTCGCAACTTCCAACCAAAATTATTTTGACTGGACAGAAGACAAAAACTTTGCACAAGGAAGAGTTGAATATGAGCAAAGCTGAAAGAACTATTCAGCAGAATATTGCAGACCAGGCTTCCGTAATGCAAAAACGGAAAAGTGAAAAACTGAAACAAGAGCATAAAGGGCAACCTAGGACTGCTTCTCCTGGGGCTGTTCGTGAGGGGCCATCATCTGCACCTGCTACACCAACAAAAACCCCGTATTCTCCAACATCTACAAAAGAAAAGAAAATTCGAATAACCACAAATGATGGGAGGCAGTCAATGCTTACCCTAAAGTGCACTACCACCTTCTTGGAACTACAGGAAAGCATAGCGAGAGAATTTAATATTCCTCCATATTTGCAATGTATTCGCTATGGCTTTCCTCCTAAAGAGCTTCTGCCTCCCAAAGAAGGCATGGAAAATGAGCCTGTTCCTCTGCAGCATGGTGACAGGATTGCGATAGAAATCCTGAAAGGTAAGGAAGAAGGCAGGCAGTCTGCTTCAGCACACTCGGCCCATGCCGTGAAGCATGACGATGTTGCTGTGACTAGTAAAATCTCATCGAAGGAACTGCAAGAGCAAGTCGATAAGGAGATGTATTCTCTCTGTCTTCTAGCAACACTAATGGGTAAGGCTGACTTCAAGTTACACTTTAAAATTGTATTTTTAAGTAGAAGATAACACTTTACAAACTGTAGTTACATACATATCTTTTTTTCTTTCTTTTCTGTAACCATGGAGAAGGTTAGTTCCTTTATTCCTCTATTAGAAGAACATTTAACATGCTGTCAGTGACTTGTTGAGTGTCATGACTTTTAAAATGTGTATATGAGATACTTGTTCTTTCTTTGCTATAAAGTCCTCTTTCAAAAATCGCTGTTTAGAAGTTGTTGCATTTCATCTTCTGTCTGTCTATTTGTTTTTCCTGTCTCTCATTAGGCATGCATCTGATGTGTATGTGTGTGAGCTACATGCTCTCTTTTTTCCTACATCTCCCTCAGGTTTCAGGAAATAAATTCAGAGCAGGGGTGAGAAGGGGACACTGAATGTCTGCTCATTGGAAGTTTGAGGACCAAATTGTCACCTTTGTAATAGGATAAAGTCCTGGCATTTCTCCCCACAGGGAATTGTGTTGGTTTAAGCAAATCAACACAACATTGTATTCTTAGCTAATCTGCTAACTTGAAGTAAAGATCTGGTATTTTTAAAGAGCTGTGAAAAGTATTATTTCAGAATGTAAGCAAAGGAAAAACTGAAAGAAGCTAAACATAGATTTGAATCCCAAAGGTGGACATAAGGTTGCAAAGCTATGCTTATAAATCATCAGTCTTGTAAATCTGACTAACTGTTAATAATTGAAGATGAAAGGACTTTTCTCAGGTGCCTGTCATTTTTATTTTCATATTTGGACTCAGGAGACTTGGACCTTCACTTGTGTACTTTCTTCGTCAGGTTTCACAGTTGTTGCTGCTTACTGGCAGGAAGTAGAACAGTAATTATCATACATTTAGCTCTATGAACCAGTTGAATAGTAATGTTTACATGTGTTTTTGTGGGAGCCTTCTCTTTTGCTGGAGGGATTTGGTGTGGCTAAAGCATGTGATGTTTTAGAAACGAAACAATTACATAATCACAGAGTGGTATGTCAGAAGTTCATCGTGCAGAACTTTGATTCTTTTCCAAGCCTGATTGTTTACTCCTGTGTCTTGCAAGATAGCGTGCTGAATCACTAGCCACCTTGTCACACTGACATTTACACCCGAGTTCCAAAGTGCAGGAAAAGGTTAGGTTTAAAAGCTGTCTTAATTTTGAAATGAAGCTTGAAAGAGTGCTTTCCTGTTTTCAGGAAGTACTCCTGAAAATGTAATTATTGGCTTACAAAAAACCTCTCGGGTGCTTTAAAAGTATCTCAGTGACTTCAGCATTAAGGGGTCTCTCTTTTTTTTTTTTTTTTTTTTACAAGTATTTGTCTATAAACTGTGAGCTGATCTTGTATTTAAGAATCAAATTTTGTCTTTGACTCTCATTGCTGTTAGACTCTGCTTTCGAAGCACAGGTTAGAATAGAATTTTCCTCAGCCTTCTCTGGCTGCATCCATTTTGCATTACTAATAGAAGTAAAAGTGTCAGCAAATGATAAACGAACCAGTTATAACAACTTATGCAGCTACTGAATAAGATACTATTTTTATATAATCGCTTTTCCCATCAGGGTTTCGTTTTCCTTCAGAGATACTTTTGGAAAAAATCTAGACAGTTTACTTACTATTGTGCCTTTTCAATGGGGAAACAAACTCGAAGAAACTTCTTAAGTCCTTGCACTTTCTTAAGAGTGTTGGGGTGGCAGTTCGTCAAGGTGGTATATTCAGCCTTTCTGGGACAAGAAGCCTCAGTGTTTCTCAATTACGTTTCTGTACTGCTAAAAACCAGTGCTGCAAGGTTCTGAGAGTCAGCTTATCCTGCATGCTCTTGCTGTAACTTTGTTCTGCTAAAAGCATTCATCTAATACAGTCAGATTAGAATGTGTAGAGCAGAGATGGTATTGAAATAGCTCTCTGGGCCAGACACGCTTTGCTTTTTTTTTTCCCCCCAATGCCCACAGTGAAAGTGTGTCTTCAAACATCTGTAACTATTCATTCCGGATGCTTAAAAGCTTTTCTTTCATGCAGGGTCTCCTGTAGGCCGACTTGATGCTTATCTCATATTTCAGTTACTAGAAATTGTCTTTTCTGGTCTCAGCTAGTTAACTTACTAAAATTTTAGACCATGTTCTTTAATTTTTATGTATATAACTTAAAAATAAGCCTTGGGAAATTAGATACTGTAATTTCTGGACTGCTTAGCTTTACAAAAAATCATGCATAATATGTTTTCTCCCCTACTTTTGTTTAGCTCAAAATACAGAATTCTATAAGGAAATGACTAAAGGAATTTTAATTTTACATTAACATAGTTAAAACGTTATATTTTTAAACTGATTTTATATCCACCCATGCAGAAGCACTCTGGATACATGCAAGCCCAGTACGAATCTGTTTTGTTCGGTTTGCATTGATGAATTTGTTGGTGCACAAGAAATCAAAATAGCCAGATTTAAATTAAATGCATTAATTGATACCAGGATTTGCTTGGATTTAAACAGCTTGTTTTTAAGCCAACTGTAGTACCCTGTAACCTGTGTTTATCAACTGAGCTTTCTATTTGTTTTGCACTTCTGTGTGTCCTCTCTGCTGTACGAAGTGACAGTCTTGGGCTTCCACTGGCGCAGGTTAGTCTGCACCTGCTCTTTTTCTGCAGCGTATGAGGCATGCTTGTGGGTAGGATAGTCTTCATTCGTTGCCATACCTTAATGTTGTGGGGCTGAGGTCTGGTCTGAGGGAGTGTGTACTGCAGTGGGAATAGGGCGGGGAACATCACCTCTTTGATAAATGTAGTGCCTTGAGGGAGTTTTTAATCTAACTAAATGATCACCTAAATTAACCTGTGACCTCGAAACATCTTACTCCCATGGTAAACAAAACCAAATCAAATGGTAAAACCCAACTAGCAACAAAAATGTGCAAACCTCAAACATAGTTTAGTTGAATCACACACGGTAGTTGCTCTGATCTGGGAAAGTCCAGTTGTAATTGTGGGGTTTTTTGGTGTTCCAATCTGAGATCTCTTTATCAAAACATCATAGTTAGTTTGTATTTCTTGCAGTGGCTGATGCTTTTGTTTTGTGAGCCCTGCTCGCCATACTTTTCTGCATGTAGTCCTTGTTAGTGTTGCATAAAAGGCTATCTAAACAACAATGCTTCTCTGGTGCAAGGCTTGAAAAATCATGCCCGGAGTGAACAGGGAATCTTTCCTTGGAGAATGCCACTAATGTGTAAAAACTGGGCTTCTTCTAAAAGCCTGGTGGTTGTCTTGTGGAAGGGAAGGGAATCCTTCACATAAGAATGGATTGCTACATGCAGCAGTACTGGAGTCCTTAATATGGAGTCAGCCGCTGTGTGGCTGCTGGCTGTGGCCTCCCCAAGCTTCAGCAGACTGATGACTGTATTCTGTTACTTATCAGTGTAGTGGTTATTTTGATTCCTGTGGGCAGTATTTAAACGATCAGGAAGACTTCAGCTTGCTGCTGCTTGGTAGAAAATGAAGAGCCACAGCAATGATGCTCTGGAGCCATTGTGTATAGGGATGTGTATTTCAAAATGTAAATGAGAATAGGGATGCAGGGTAGCAGTGAACACCTGAAATAACACTCTCTCTCATGTTTTTGCTATCAGCAGTAATTGTCCTCCGTCCATGCAGCTGTTTGAAGAAGAGGGAAAGCAGTGGCAGTAGTGAGGAGGAAAAGAGAATGCTCCTTTTAAAATAAAATAAAAAAAAAATTTTTTTAGTGGGTCGTTGAGAGCTGGAGAGGAGCTTCAAATTTATTAGCAAGTCAGTAGAGAGCAGTTACCGGGATAAAGTCAAAAGACAAGACCTCCTTCTTCAGTAGACCATGGAAAATGAGAAAGACAGGTAGTTAGTTTTACTTGGGTGTTCTTGCTAGGAAGTGAAGGCTGAATCTGTGAGCTTGATGTGCAAATGAATCCAATGAACCAGAGCATATATGGTTCAAGTGAATGCATTTAAAATGAATCAGATTATATAAGTCTGCTGTCTTTAAAATGTCTAAAGACAAAACGATGAAGGTGCACTGTACCTTTTTATAGAGAATGGGGACTTGAATAACACCTGAAGTGGAGAGGTGAGCGACAGACTCCTTCTGGGGGATTCTGGGGGGGACAGACAAGCAGGGGAGTGTACAGAGTCCCGTGCCTGTTGGGGAAGGCAAACAGAAAAGTCAGAGAGTGGCTTGAAAAGTTTCAAAGTGTAACGTAGCTCATAATGCCACTGTCACCAGGGTGAAACATTTTCTCACCTGAGGTGGGTGGGATAGGAGAGTAGCCACAGTTACCTTATGGGATATGCAGTAGAGAAATGCAAGGAGGGATTTAGATGTGCCCTATATTCATATATGTGTATGTGGAAGCTATTAAAAATAATTTCTTACTTTTATTTAGCTCTTAACAGCAAGAAAAGAAATATTGGTGGGTAATACTTTACAACCTCACTCATTCCAACTATCTCTATTCCAAGTAGTTAAGTGCATCCAGTTAACTTTAGTTGATGATTTACATTCTCCAATTTTAATAGAAAATGGAGAGACATGGTTATTGAGATTTTGATGCCTAGAGAAGGGTGCAATTTCTATTTAAAGTATCTCAGTATGTCCCTGAATGTTTGATATAAAGTGGGAAAAGCAATTTTTTTCTGAAAATGTGTACATGCAGTAGTTGTTTCTGCATCAGGAGAATGGAATTTATCAGTACTTTTTGTTTGCACTGCTTTGACAGCTACGTCACGTGTCACTTCTCTGAAGCAGGTAAGTGGTTAGCAAAATGAGGAAAAGGGTATAGGTAAAAATGCAGATCTGAACTGATTTAGCAGGTGCAGTTAGGTCACTGATACTCTGTCATTGTAATCCAATTTTTCTGTTCTTTATATTCCTTTCCATACATAGTCTAGGTTTGGGTTTTTTTTTCCTCTCAGTGGCATTTAAAGTTGTCACATTTCAATGCCTTTTTTGGCATCTTTGAAAAATGCCAGTTATACAGGACTGCTGGGGCCTCACAGTTGGTATTTTGTTTCTAACTCTCAAGAAAAGCAAGGTACAGACACAGCTTCTACCTAGCTGCCTGTGTGGACGTTTATATCTCAGCTACAGTATAAAGTGTGCTGTATGGTGGCTGTGAAATTGAGATCTGATTTTTGAGAAGGTGTAAGGATATAGAATTGAGGTTTTAGTGTGCAAGGGTATGTGCTTGAATTTTGGAAGTGTGTTAGTCATTTCCTAGTTTTATGTTGACAGCATGGGTAGGAGGGGAATGGAGACTCACGTGTAGGGCCTGGCAAAGAACCAGGAGCTGCAGCTTGGATCAAATCAAATTTGGGAACCTTTGTACTAGAACATGTAGGATATTTGACTGCAGACAGTGGTATGTTTTCCTGAAAGTTTCTCAATGTCCTGGGCTCCTGTAAATTTGCAATAAAAATTCAAATTCTTAATTGCATAGAAGAGAGCGAGGATTCAGCTTTTAATTCAAGGAGTTACATTTTCAGCCATTGTCTATAATGTTAAAATAAGACTCTCTAATTCTAATGATTGTGTTTGATTTTTACAGGAGAAGATGTTTGGTCTTACGCAAAGGGGCTTCCTCAGTTGTTTCAGCAGGGTGGAGTATTCTACAGCATAATGAAGAAAACCACAGGTATTTTTTGTTGTTGTTTTTATCCCTTCCTTCCTCTGTTTTCAAGTCTTTAAAATTGTAAATTGGTATTGAGTCACTTGTAAGCATAAGTATATTTTTATTTTATTACCATGGCACATTTTCGTTTTCATAATATTGTAGAACTCCTATGCTCCCTCAGAGAGCTCAAGACTAGGGAAGCTGACTAACACTAGTTCATGCAACTTAAATCTCTTCTTTTCTGACATTTTCTCTACAGCCATACATCTCCATTTAAACTTCCTGAATTGTACAAACAACTTCAGTAACTCTTCTGATTTTTTTTTTTTTTCTTCCCCCCTGTTGTCTGTCCGTCCGTCCCCCTGCCGTGCCCCC